CGTGCATGGACATGTAGAGAGTGCGGGGGATGGGGGTGGCCGAGAGAGTCAACACGTCCACGCTCGTGGTGTGACTGACTGCCTGCACACACATGCATGCTCCCTCTTTAACTCACCTGGCATCTCTGAACCCGTGCATGGACATGTAGAGAGTGCGGGGGATGGGGGTGGCCGAGAGAGTCAACACGTCCACGCTCGTGGTGTGACTGACTGCCTGCACACACATGCATGCTCCCTCTTAAACTCACCTGGCATCTCTGAACCCGTGCATGGACATGTAGAGAGTGCGGGGGATGGGGGTGGCCGAGAGAGTCAACACGTCCACGCTCGTGGTGTGACTGACTGCCTGCACACACATGCATGCTCCCTCTTTAACTCACCTGGCATCTCTGAACCCGTGCATGGACATGTAGAGAGTGCGGGGGATGGGGGTGGCCGAGAGAGTCAACACGTCCACGCTCGTGGTGTGACTGACTGCCTGCACACACATGCATGCTCCCTCTTTAACTCACCTGGCATCTCTGAACCCGTGCATGGACATGTAGAGAGTGCGGGGGATGGGGGTGGCCGAGAGAGTCAACACGTCCACGCTCGTGGTGTGACTGACTGCCTGCACACACATGCATGCTCCCTCTTTAACTCACCTGGCATCTCTGAACCCGTGCATGGACATGTAGAGAGTGCGGGGGATGGGGGTGGCCGAGAGAGTCAACACGTCCACGCTCGTGGTGTGACTGACTGCCTGCACACACATGCATGCTCCCTCTTTAACTCACCTGGCATCTCTGAACCCGTGCATGGACATGTAGAGAGTGCGGGGGATGGGGGTGGCCGAGAGAGTCAACACGTCCACGCTCGTGGTGTGACTGACTGCCTGCACACACATGCATGCTCCCTCTTTAACTCACCTGGCATCTCTGAACCCGTGCATGGACATGTAGAGAGTGCGGGGGATGGGGGTGGCCGAGAGAGTCAACACGTCCACGCTCGTGGTGTGACTGACTGCCTGCACACACATGCATGCTCCCTCTTAAACTCACCTGGCATCTCTGAACCCGTGCATGGACATGTAGAGAGTGCGGGGGATGGGGGTGGCCGAGAGAGTCAACACGTCCACGCTCGTGGTGTGACTGACTGCCTGCACACACATGCATGCTCCCTCTTTAACTCACCTGGCATCTCTGAACCCGTGCATGGACATGTAGAGAGTGCGGGGGATGGGGGTGGCCGAGAGAGTCAACACGTCCACGCTCGTGGTGTGACTGACTGCCTGCACACACATGCATGCTCCCTCTTAAACTCACCTGGCATCTCTGAACCCGTGCATGGACATGTAGAGAGTGCGGGGGATGGGGGTGGCCGAGAGAGTCAACACGTCCACGCTCGTGGTGTGACTGACTGCCTGCACACACATGCATGCTCCCTCTTAAACTCACCTGGCATCTCTGAACCCGTGCATGGACATGTAGAGAGTGCGGGGGATGGGGGTGGCCGAGAGAGTCAACACGTCCACGCTCGTGGTGTGACTGACTGCCTGCACACACATGCATGCTCCCTCTTAAACTCACCTGGCATCTCTGAACCCGTGCATGGACATGTAGAGAGTGCGGGGGATGGGGGTGGCCGAGAGAGTCAACACGTCCACGCTCGTGGTGTGACTGACTGCCTGCACACACATGCATGCTCCCTCTTAAACTCACCTGGCATCTCTGAACCCGTGCATGGACATGTAGAGAGTGCGGGGGATGGGGGTGGCCGAGAGAGTCAACACGTCCACGCTCGTGGTGTGACTGACTGCCTGCACACACATGCATGCTCCCTCTTAAACTCACCTGGCATCTCTGAACCCGTGCATGGACATGTAGAGAGTGCGGGGGATGGGGGTGGCCGAGAGAGTCAACACGTCCACGCTCGTGGTGTGACTGACTGCCTGCACACACATGCATGCTCCCTCTTAAACTCACCTGGCATCTCTGAACCCGTGCATGGACATGTAGAGAGTGCGGGGGATGGGGGTGGCCGAGAGAGTCAACACGTCCACGCTCGTGGTGTGACTGACTGCCTGCACACACATGCATGCTCCCTCTTAAACTCACCTGGCATCTCTGAACCCGTGCATGGACATGTAGAGAGTGCGGGGGATGGGGGTGGCCGAGAGAGTCAACACGTCCACGCTCGTGGTGTGACTGACTGCCTGCACACACATGCATGCTCCCTCTTAAACTCACCTGGCATCTCTGAACCCGTGCATGGACATGTAGAGAGTGCGGGGGATGGGGGTGGCCGAGAGAGTCAACACGTCCACGCTCGTGGTGTGACTGACTGCCTGCACACACATGCATGCTCCCTCTTTAACTCACCTGGCATCTCTGAACCCGTGCATGGACATGTAGAGAGTGCGGGGGATGGGGGTGGCCGAGAGAGTCAACACGTCCACGCTCGTGGTGTGACTGACTGCCTGCACACACATGCATGCTCCCTCTTTAACTCACCTGGCATCTCTGAACCCGTGCATGGACATGTAGAGAGTGCGGGGGATGGGGGTGGCCGAGAGAGTCAACACGTCCACGCTCGTGGTGTGACTGACTGCCTGCACACACATGCATGCTCCCTCTTTAACTCACCTGGCATCTCTGAACCCGTGCATGGACATGTAGAGAGTGCGGGGGATGGGGGTGGCCGAGAGAGTCAACACGTCCACGCTCGTGGTGTGACTGACTGCCTGCACACACATGCATGCTCCCTCTTTAACTCACCTGGCATCTCTGAACCCGTGCATGGACATGTAGAGAGTGCGGGGGATGGGGGTGGCCGAGAGAGTCAACACGTCCACGCTCGTGGTGTGACTGACTGCCTGCACACACATGCATGCTCCCTCTTTAACTCACCTGGCATCTCTGAACCCGTGCATGGACATGTAGAGAGTGCGGGGGATGGGGGTGGCCGAGAGAGTCAACACGTCCACGCTCGTGGTGTGACTGACTGCCTGCACACACATGCATGCTCCCTCTTTAACTCACCTGGCATCTCTGAACCCGTGCATGGACATGTAGAGAGTGCGGGGGATGGGGGTGGCCGAGAGAGTCAACACGTCCACGCTCGTGGTGTGACTGACTGCCTGCACACACATGCATGCTCCCTCTTTAACTCACCTGGCATCTCTGAACCCGTGCATGGACATGTAGAGAGTGCGGGGGATGGGGGTGGCCGAGAGAGTCAACACGTCCACGCTCGTGGTGTGACTGACTGCCTGCACACACATGCATGCTCCCTCTTTAACTCACCTGGCATCTCTGAACCCGTGCATGGACATGTAGAGAGTGCGGGGGATGGGGGTGGCCGAGAGAGTCAACACGTCCACGCTCGTGGTGTGACTGACTGCCTGCACACACATGCATGCTCCCTCTTTAACTCACCTGGCATCTCTGAACCCGTGCATGGACATGTAGAGAGTGCGGGGGATGGGGGTGGCCGAGAGAGTCAACACGTCCACGCTCGTGGTGTGACTGACTGCCTGCACACACATGCATGCTCCCTCTTAAACTCACCTGGCATCTCTGAACCCGTGCATGGACATGTAGAGAGTGCGGGGGATGGGGGTGGCCGAGAGAGTCAACACGTCCACGCTCGTGGTGTGACTGACTGCCTGCACACACATGCATGCTCCCTCTTAAACTCACCTGGCATCTCTGAACCCGTGCATGGACATGTAGAGAGTGCGGGGGATGGGGGTGGCCGAGAGAGTCAACACGTCCACGCTCGTGGTGTGACTGACTGCCTGCACACACATGCATGCTCCCTCTTTAACTCACCTGGCATCTCTGAACCCGTGCATGGACATGTAGAGAGTGCGGGGGATGGGGGTGGCCGAGAGAGTCAACACGTCCACGCTCGTGGTGTGACTGACTGCCTGCACACACATGCATGCTCCCTCTTTAACTCACCTGGCATCTCTGAACCCGTGCATGGACATGTAGAGAGTGCGGGGGATGGGGGTGGCCGAGAGAGTCAACACGTCCACGCTCGTGGTGTGACTGACTGCCTGCACACACATGCATGCTCCCTCTTTAACTCACCTGGCATCTCTGAACCCGTGCATGGACATGTAGAGAGTGCGGGGGATGGGGGTGGCCGAGAGAGTCAACACGTCCACGCTCGTGGTGTGACTGACTGCCTGCACACACATGCATGCTCCCTCTTAAACTCACCTGGCATCTCTGAACCCGTGCATGGACATGTAGAGAGTGCGGGGGATGGGGGTGGCCGAGAGAGTCAACACGTCCACGCTCGTGGTGTGACTGACTGCCTGCACACACATGCATGCTCCCTCTTAAACTCACCTGGCATCTCTGAACCCGTGCATGGACATGTAGAGAGTGCGGGGGATGGGGGTGGCCGAGAGAGTCAACACGTCCACGCTCGTGGTGTGACTGACTGCCTGCACACACATGCATGCTCCCTCTTAAACTCACCTGGCATCTCTGAACCCGTGCATGGACATGTAGAGAGTGCGGGGGATGGGGGTGGCCGAGAGAGTCAACACGTCCACGCTCGTGGTGTGACTGACTGCCTGCACACACATGCATGCTCCCTCTTAAACTCACCTGGCATCTCTGAACCCGTGCATGGACATGTAGAGAGTGCGGGGGATGGGGGTGGCCGAGAGAGTCAACACGTCCACGCTCGTGGTGTGACTGACTGCCTGCACACACATGCATGCTCCCTCTTAAACTCACCTGGCATCTCTGAACCCGTGCATGGACATGTAGAGAGTGCGGGGGATGGGGGTGGCCGAGAGAGTCAACACGTCCACGCTCGTGGTGTGACTGACTGCCTGCACACACATGCATGCTCCCTCTTAAACTCACCTGGCATCTCTGAACCCGTGCATGGACATGTAGAGAGTGCGGGGGATGGGGGTGGCCGAGAGAGTCAACACGTCCACGCTCGTGGTGTGACTGACTGCCTGCACACACATGCATGCTCCCTCTTAAACTCACCTGGCATCTCTGAACCCGTGCATGGACATGTAGAGTGTGCGCGGGATGGGGGTGGCCGAGAGAGTCAACACGTCAACGCTCGTTTTGAGGCTGCTGATTCGCTCCTTCTGCCTCACGCCAAAGCGCTGATGGGGGGAAAATTGGCGCGGGAGGAGGGGCGCGGGGAAAAGGGGAAAGAAGGGGTGGAGAGGAGAGTTTAGTTCTTGTACGCCCATGCTCGTCTTGAGGCTGCTGGTTCGCTCCTTCTGCCTTACACCATAGTGCTGATGATAGGGAGAGATGAGGTAGGGGCAGGTTGATGGCCACTGCATGATATGCATACATATGTGAATAGATACATACATACATACTTACATACATACATACATACATACATATATATATATATATATATGCATGTATATACATACCTCAAATGGTACATACTTGTTACTTGCTCCTCATATAAATGTATATATACATATCCTTAATATACAGTAAATATTATTCGCCCAACTCCCACCCAAAACGCCAACGAATCCGCACAGGTGTGCAAATTTGCAAAGCGGCCTTACCTGTTCCTCATCAATCACGAGCAGCCCCAGGTTGTGGTAGACCACCAGCTTACCAGGTACTGTATAATACATATACATATAAATGTATACATATATATCCTTAAAGCCCAAGACCTGAATTGCTCAACGCAAGTCAACGCAGGGCAAAACTGTGGGCTGCGGGAGGCAAACTGTGCACAGTTTGCCCTCGTTTTTTGTAATTCGGGTCTTGGGCTTTAATGTACAGTGAATATTCTAATTACCTGTTCCTCATCAATCACGAGCAGCCCCATGTTGTGGTAGACCACCTGCGCGCCCAGCAGGGAGTGAGTGCCGTGCCGGTCACAACGTCTAGCGTGCCGTCCCTTTGAGTCAATTCAATAGTCACCTTATTACCTGCTCCTCATCAATCACGAGCAGCCCCATGTTGTGGTAGACCACCAGCTTACCAGGTACTGTACAATACATATGCATATAAATGTATACATATATATCCTTAATGTACAGTGAATATTCTAATTACCTGTTCCTCATCAATGACGAGCAGCCCCAGGTTGTGGTAGACCACCTGCGCGCCCAGCAGGGAGTGAGTGCCCGTCACCACGTCTAGCGTGCCGTCCCGTATCCCTGCTAGTACCTCCTTCTTCTCACTCTCCTTCTGTGACATGAGGAAAGCGGGTTGGGGAGGGAGGAGGAGATAGGTGGGAGAAGGGGAGAGTGAGTGCCCGTCACCACGTCTAGCGTGCCGTGCCGTATCCCTGCCAGTACCTCCTTCTTCTCGCTCTCCTTCTGTTATGTGGAGCAGGGCGAAGGGAGAGGGTGGTATACAGGGTGCAACGAAGGGCAATCCCAGCAGGGAGTGAGTGCCCGTCACAACATCTAACGTGCCGTCCCGTATCCCTGCTAGTACCTCCTTCTTCTCACTCTCCTTCTGTGACATGAGGAAAGCGGGTTGGGGAGGGAGGAGGAGACAGGTGGGAGAAGGGGAGAGTGAGTGCCCGTCACAACGTCTCGCGTGCCGTCCCTTATCCATGCTAGTACCTCCTTCTTCTCACTCTCCTTCTGTGAAGCGTGTCAAATGGGGAAAAGGGTGTGCATGGAATTTAGTTAGGTGGGGGGAGGAAGCAGAGGGGAAGGAATAATGATGACGATGCAAATGCCTGTTCACTTGTCACCACAACCTGAAATTACCTGCACCACCTGATTACCCGCCTGATAATAAGCCGGAAAGCACCTGAAAGCCCACCTGGAATCGCGAGAGCAGGGACCCACGAACGCCATAGTCCTTGAAGCGGGCAGATATGACCATGTAGTGCTGCTTGCTGTGTTTGGTGTTGACTGATGCTCTCACTCTCACCTAATGCAACCTGAATCCACCCACCCACCCACTGGAATCGCGAGAGCAGGGACCCACGAACGCCATAGCCCTTGAGGTAGGCGGATATGACCATGACCTTGTGGTGCTGCTTGCTGTGCTCGGTGTTGACTGATGCTCTCACTCTCACCCAATGCAACCTGAATCCACCCACCCACCCACCTGGAATCGCGAGAGCAGGGCCACACGGACGCCATACTCTTTCAGGCGCGCAGATATGACCTTGTAGTGCTGCTTGGCCAGCACTGTGGTTGGGGCTAGCACCATGGCCTGGAGTATGGGAAAATAAGTGAGGGGAAAGGGAAGGAGGAGGGAAGGGGAGGAGGGGGAGGAGAAGGGAAGTTGGGCCACAACATGCATTAGACAGTCTTTGAGGCGGGAAGATATGACCTTGTAGTGCTGCTTGGCCAGAACCGTGGTTGGGGCTAGCACCATGGCCTGCATGGGGAGACGGGAGGGGGGGGGGGGGATGGGGGAGGAGTAGGGGGGGAACGAAACGCCTGTAATGCACACTTGACAGTCCTTCAGGCGGGCATAGTCTGCAGCGAGTGTTTTTTGAGAATTCTAAAAAAAAACTTGACAGTCCTTGAGGCGGGCATAGTCTGCATGGGATGAGTGTTTTTTTGAGAATTCTCAAAAAACACTCGGAGAAAGAGAGGGAGGAAGGGGAGGGGGGAGTTGATGACCGAGTGCCTCACAGCCACTCACCTCTGTCTTGCCAAAGCCCACATCGCCACACACACCCACACGCATGCACGCACACCCTCGTGCAATAACACGCACCTATCCATTCCTCCGCACACGCACACACGCACCTGTCTCTTGTCGAGAACTGCTCAGAAGATCGCCCTCACAGCCACCTCTGTCTTGCCGAAGCCCACATCGCCACACACAAACACACATGCAACATGCACACATCAACGGTCTTCCCACTCACCTGTCGCCTATCCAGCACTGCTCGGAAGATGGCCCGCACAGCCACCTCGGTCTTGCCAAAGCCCACATCGCCACACACGAGGCGGTCCATTGGGGTCTCCCTCTCACACATGTCCCTCTCCACGTCTAGAAACGCCTGTTGGGTTGTGAGGAAAAGGAGGGGGAAAGGGACGGGGGAAGGGAGTGAAGAGAGGATGGAAGAGGTGACGTGTGAGTCAACTCAGAGATCACCCTAAAGCCCACATCGCCACACACCAGTCAGTCCATGGGGGTCTCCCTCTCACACATGTCCCTCTCCTCGTCCAAGAATGCCTGTGGCCCTGTGGGGATGGCAGTGGAAGTCAGGGGAGTGGTGTGGTGGCAGAGAGAGCTTGCAGGTGATGACTCGTGAGGCGAGGCGAGTCGAGGGTCTTGTCGGAAGCCAGCACAGCATCGCTACACACCGGTTGGTCCATGGGGGTCTACCTCTCACACATGCCCCCCCCCTCTCCATGTCCAAGAATTCCTGTGGGATTTCAGAGCTGGCCGCCGCTGCCGCAGCCTCTTGACATAGACGTCCATCATCTCGCCCACCATCCGCTCCTCCAGATCCCATGCACACACGCACCCTCCCACACACCTGTTGCTGGTCCCACCCTCCGTCTGACTCCACCCCCGCACCATCTCGCCCACCATCCGCTTCACTGCCTCCTTGCCCTCCCTTGTCGACATTGTGAGGCACCGAAAGTTGTTCTTTCCTCGCTGAAAACTGAGACAAAACCCACCCACCCACCTGCTCCTGGTCTGGCGTCGGCTTGTACGCGAAAGACTCGCCAAACTGCTGCATTTCCGCGTCAAACTTGGGGTAAACAGGCCGCCGCTGCAGCAGCCTCTCCTTGTTTAGAACTGAGACCGAACCCACCCACCCACCCACCCACCCATCCACCCACTGACTCACCCAATCATGCAACTACCTGCTCCTGGTCTGGCGTTGGCTTGTAAGCGAAAGACTCGCCAAACCGCTGCATTTCCGCATCAAACTTGGGGTACACGGGGCGCCTCTGCCGCAACCTCTTCACATAGACGTCCATCATCTCGCCCACCATGCGCTCCACTGCCTCCTTGCCCTTCGCCTGCCGCTTCTCCCACGCACTCGCGTCGTTCATCTTGCTTAGGGGAGGGGAGCGGCCAGGGGGACCGGCACTGGGGTGTGTGGGAAAGGGGACAGGGGCAGGAGGGGCGCGGGCAGGGGAGAGGGAGCAGGAGAGCGAGAGGAGAGGAAGGGAGGCAGTAATACGGTGAGGGCGCTGGCACAGCCTGTTGGCTTGGCTTCACATAGACGTCCATCATCTCGCCCACCATCCGTTCCACTGCCTCCTTGCCCTTCGCCTGCCGCTTCTCCCACGCACTCGCGTCGTGCATCTTGCTCAGGGGAGGGGATAGGCCAGGGGGACCAGCGCTGGGGGTGGGATTGGAGCGGGGGCAGAGGCGGGGAGAGGGGAGATGGGCGGAATGGGCGCGCGGGGATAGGGAGGCGTGAGGGTAGGGTCGAGGGAGCAGGAGAAGGAGTGGAGGAGTAACACGCCAATGGTTTCGCCCCTTGTTACTCACATGCCAAACCGGTAAAGCACTTGTTTCGCCTGCTTCGCACTGAGTTTCGCCCTGCAGAAGCAGGTACTTACTTCACCTTCAGCTGCAGCCATCCCCCCCTGAACCAACCCCCCCCCTCTCCCCCCCTCTCCTCCCCCCATTCCCCCTGGTTACTCACATGCCAAACCGGTAGAGAACTTGTTTCGCCTGCTTCGCACTGAGTTTCGCCGACCCATCCGCGAATTGCAGCAGCAGGTACTTCACCTTCCGCTGCCGCCCCGCCGGCACCTCCACGCGCGTCCCAGTGAACCGGCAGATGCCCAGCTTCTTATGCACTAAGGCCCTTTCACTAGCCCTTTCCACTACCACCCTTACCCCAGAGAAAAGCACAGTAAGTCAGAAACCCCTCCTCCCCACTGGTCACTCACATGCCAAATCGGTACAGCACTTGTTTCGCCTGCTTCGCACTGAGTTTCGCCGACCCATCCGCGAATTGCAGCAGCAGGTACTTCACCTTCCGCTGCCGCCCCGCCGGCACCTCCACCCTTGTCCCCGTAAACCTACATATGCCGAACTTCTTATGCACCAGCACGTCGCCAGGCACTAAGGTCTTCACGTCAACCCTAAAGCCGTTGCTCTCGCCGCTCTCCCCACTGCCGCTGGTTGTGGCGCTGCTGCCGCTTTTGCTGCTGCTGCTGCTGCTGCCACTGGGCGAGCCATCCCCAGACGACTCTCGCTCATCCCCATCGCTGTCGCTCTCGTCAGCTACTCGAGACCCTGGGGTAGTTCTTACTGATCCGTTATTGACCGCCCCGTTATTAGAATCCTCGCCGCTTTTTCTCCCTGTAGCAGGACCGCTGTTGCTCAGTTTCGCCACGCGGCTTCTCAGCGCCGTCCAGTCCACGTCAGCATCTCTTCTGTTGCTTCCGGTACTAGGTCTCGTGTTTCCGTTACTGCTTCCGCGTTTCTCAGTATTCCCGTCTGTCCGTCGAACAGGCTCCGTTTTAAAGTCCCCCGTTACAAGAGTCGCTGAGCGACGAGCAGCCCCGTTAAGATGCTCGTCGCTAGAGGAATAAGCTCCGTACTCCGCTTCCCCGTCCGTCTCGGGGCCGTCACCGCCGAACCTAGCGCAGACCACAGAAGACGAACCTCTTGTACCCCTTATTGACTTACTCCCTAGCCGTCGTTCCCTCAACCCTGCAGAATGTAACCTAGCCGGCGTTAGTCTACGCAATCCCTGAAATGAAGCGAGCGACGAACAGCCATCATCTGACAATGCAAGATGCCGGAATCTAGAAGCTCTCAGGGGATAAGGTTCAGGGTTTAGCTGTTCTCTGTAAACAGATTGAAGTAACAGACCATTGTTGCCCCGAAAGTCAGGGATTAAACGGCTACTGTAACTAGATGCTGGATGAAGCCTCGAGAAGGGAGACACGCGATGTGATTTAGGAGCCACATACGCTAAGTGGCTCCTAACGGTTGAGTTCACTGGGTCTAGAGAACGCTGACGTGGCAGCGATTGTGGAGCTCCATGTCGACAGAGGAAGGATCGGTGCGGTAATCCCAAGGGGGAAGACCACTGACATTGCACCAGCAACACGCTTTCCGTGCCACGTAAGCAGCTCATGGTGAATGCGGGATCAGAACGAGAAGGTCAATTAAGGCTACGAGGAGCACTGAGTGAGTGCGGTAAGTCTACGAGCAGTGACTGCAACCACGAAGCGGCTTCGTTAGATCAGGACACGACCCAGAGGCTACTGAGACACCGTTTCGAAACGACTTGCATTCATCGTAGCGGCCACCGTCGCGAGTCGCGACACTGCTCTAACTGAAAGCGCGACATTTAGAAAAAGCAGGCGCGCACGTGTAACCTAATGCAAGCCTGCAAAATATGCTCCAGGAATCCGTATCCTTCAGGGAAGGGTGCGGTAGAATTTCGCGTGGGGTGGGAAGGGTAACTTTCTGTGCACGGTGTGTGAAGCCACCATAATCCCTGAAGCCATTCTACCTAATGATCTTCAGTGCTCGTGGAATTTGATTCATTTGACGATCAGTTCGTTGGGGGTGAAAGCTTGAGAGAGATGAACTCGAGGTGGAGGGATGCTCTGCTGTAGTGTATGATGATATCGAGAGAGTGCTGTTCCTGTCTGACCACCATCATCGCGGTGTCGACACGCGTCGCTGACGGAGTGGTGTAACGTGTGCCATGTATTCGTTAAGGCCAGCTTCGTTTCCTGGGTAATCACGAAAATAGACAGTGCTCAGTAACGCATATAGTCGTTGTAATGGTCCTCTCAGTAAGCTGGGTCCATAACATTAACAGATCTATTTGATAGTTATAACAATAAAAATAATAAATTATTGAGATTTTTAATATGAAAGGGTCTACGAATGATTACATCTCTACGTCTATCATACTTTAAATAAGGTCACGATAATATATGGTGTATAGCAGCTATTATACTCCACTGTAGACTCTACAAGCGGAAAGCTACTTCTGGCCGTCCGATAAGAGATGAAACATTTCCGAATCTTGCGATCTAACCAGAGCGAGTCGCCAACACCCCCTCACCACAATCGAACAAAATGCCTCAGCGGAACGCTACTGGGACCTGCGCTTGACACCCTTGTTACAGGACTGATCCCCTCCCGGCAAAGTCGAATTTCTCCGTTCAATCGATTAGTTGTAGCCATTGCAGATGGTGAAGAGTTGGAGGAGCCGCATCGAATTTTGTTTGTCATCTGCCCGAAAACGGCACATATTTCGTGCTGACATGCAAGAAGTTTAGCTGTCCTCTCATAAATCAATCTCACGAAGGCCCTTCAAAGCTTCGCCAATACCATATAACCAGCTTTCTCCATTTCGTGCTCTCCGCAACCACTCGTTTCCACTCTTCGCATGCAGGGAAACGAAATCCCCCGCGTCGCGTGCGACCCATTTCCTGGGTTCCCTCCGTGGCGTTGAAAGATTTCTCGTGCAAGATTTCTCCAATCCGCTTCCTCTCCTCTCCTCCCCCATCCCTGAAAGGCCTTCCTGTTCCTCCCTCGGTTTCTTCGAGCGCTTTTTTTCCTCCCTCTCACTCAACCCTCTCACCCTGCTGTTCTCTCCCTCCCTGATTTCGCTCGCCTGATTTGTGTTGCTATGTGTTGCCTTCAGAGTTGCCTCGCCGGCTTTTTTTCCTGCACAACCAGAACCCACCAAGCAGCCCTAATACGCTGATCCACGTCCCTTTCGGTCTAGCACTCCACGCTGTGAATTGTTTAACTCTTATTAGGACGGGCTCGTTTGGCCGTAACTTGACATTGACTAGCTTTCTTACGTCGTAGGATCTGATTTCGTGGTCGGATTGACTAGGTTTCCGATTTCGTTCGCTAAACTCGTTCTGGCTTCGTGCCAGTAGTTTCTAGTGCGTCGATTGCGGAAGATTCAGGAGCTCGCGTTTCTTCATTATTAGATCCAGGTATGTAGCGATTTGTTCACGGCAAGGACTCCTGGTCGTTTGTTATTTATGGGATGCCTCTATCGAAGTTATAACCATCCTCGGTAGTTTGTAGACGCAAGCCTTTTTCTGCGTAAGCTTATTCACGTCAGTATGGAAGAATGTAATGATTTCTCTTCCATTCCCGTCATCTGTTATCTGTTTACGTACCTCAAGTTTCGATGTACATGACGATTTCCTTCGTTGATCATATTTCTCATTTCTCGCTAGCAGCTTATTTTCTCACTCAATCTGAGTTTCGATACTTTTATGTAACGTTGGTTCGGTATCCGAAATCGGGCCATCATTTGCGAGTTTTTAGATTCATTTAAAACTAGAACTTACCTCGTTGACGCTTACTCTACATTTCTCATCCGGTCCTCTCGTTGCTTTATTTCCCATACTGGTCACGACTCACGAGTCGGCATGGACCATTGTTTTGAATAACTGGATTCTGTTATATTTCGTTTCTGACTTAATATGTTGATCCTTCGACGAGCGTTAAATTCTGATTCATTCACGAACGAGTTTTCCTTTCTTTGATTCCAAAACTCGATTCCTCATCTCCTCCTTTCATACTTCCGCAGGACTTTTAAAATATTTTTCTGCTATTGGGAGATGCGGGCACGAAGTAGTAGTTTTTCGCGAACGAGTTTCGAAACGAGCTAATACGCGTTATGAGATTCATTTCCTGTCTTCTCCCGTTGACAGCGCAGTCCTCAGACGTCTAGTTACGGGAGATGAACGGCCTCGCGAAGTAGCAGTTACTCGCGACTGAGTTTCCGAGATACCTAACACCTCGATATCTTGTCTCCTTATCTATCTGTCGCAGGTCTATCCATGGGTGATCGGCCTCGCGAACTGCGGTTACTCGTGAACGCCAGCGGCGACGAAGCTGCGTAGTGTACGAGTAGAGACGATGGATCCAAAATCGAATCGCACGACGACGTCGACGACGGCGACGACGACGACGGCGAATACGACGGCGACGAAGACGACGTCGCCGGGTCTGGTTAAACAGCAGGACGGAAGCACGAAGGAGATAGCGGAGAGAGGAAAAGCGATAGAGAACGCGCAGCGCGGAAACGCGACGGAGGACGGAAACGCGACTGGGAGCGGAACCGCTAAGGCGAGCGGAAACGATGAGTCGAGCGGAAACGCGGCGGAGGTAGTACAGGGGGAGCGCGCGACGAGGAGCGTGCACAGCGGGGGAGCGCGCGCGATGGGGAACTCGCAGAGTGCGGACGCGAAGGCGGAGATCGGTAGCGGTGAGGGTGAGAAAGTAGCTGGGGGCGCGACGGCTAAGGGAACGGTTCAGAGCGGCGGCGACGGGAAGGAGAACGCACAGAGCGCTAGTGTTAGCAGCGTGAGCGCGGACGGAAAGAGAGGCGTTAGCGACGCGCGCGCGAAACGAGACGCAAACGCGGAAGGAGGCGCGAGCGCGAAAGCGGACGCGAGTGCTGCGGGGAACATGAAGGGAGGGAGCGGGAAGGAGGGCGTTCAAGGTGGAGACGCGAAGGCAAGCGAGCAAGGCGTGGCTGCAAGGGAGAAGGGTGCGGAGAAGGGTGCAGAGAAGGTCGTAGCTGTACGTGAAGCAGTAGGCCCCGCTGCTGGGCCCCATCCGCCTCCATCCTCTCCCGCACCTGCATCCGCACCTGCATCCGCACCTGCATCCACACCTGCACCCAAGGCGACATGTGCACCTGCGCCTGCACCTGCTCCCACTGGTCCCACAGGCCATACCAGTCCTCCTTCCTTGAAACCTAAGCCTCCTGCGGCCACCAAGCCTTTACCAGCTTCTGCTGCCAAACCCTCAACTCACCAGCCCCCACCTCTTCCCCTGGCCCCCCCTCGTCCCCAACGTTCCTCTCTCTCCCAACCTCCACCTCTCCCCCTCCCTCCCACCAAACCGTTACTGGCGTCAGCGAAGGCACCGCCAGCTGCTGCACCAAAGCGATCGCCTCCCCTGGCTCCTCCTAGCGGCCCAGGGGGAACAGCTTCGCCAGCAGCAGCGCCAGCAGCCACGCCAGCAGCCGCGCCAACAGCGGCAACAGCAGGAGCAGCAGCGCCAGTAGTAGCGCCAGTAGCAGCGGCAGCAGCAGCGCCAGTAGCCACGCCAGCAGCAGCAACATCAGGAGCAGCAACACCAGTAGTAACGCCAGTAGCAGCGGCAGCAGCAGCGCCAGTAGCAGCAGCAACAGCGGCGGCAGCGGCGCCCCCGGCAGAAGCACCAAAGCCATCGGTTACTGCCTCTCCCAGTAGCACGGGGAAGGCAGCTCCGCCAGCAGCGGCACTCAAACCGTCGCCTCCCCTGGCTCCTCCTCCCAGCGGCCCAGGAAAAACAGGTTCAGCAACACCAACGCCAGCAGTGCCAGCAGCAGCGATAGCAGCTCCGCAAGTAGCACCCAAACTCTCGTCTCCCCCTGCGCCTGGCTCCATGGGTAAAGCAGCGCCAGCAGGAGCAGCAGCCGCACCCAAGCCCTCATCTCCCCCTGTACCCAGCTTGACAAGTAAAGCAGCACCAGCAGGAGCAGCAGCAGGAGCAGCAGCAGCAACAGCGCCCAATCCTGCCAACAGTGCAGTTCCGGCCAAAGCAACTACTGGTACTAGTACTAGTGCTAGTGCCAGTGCAGTGGCAGCTTCGAAAGTCAACCGAGTTCAGTCAACCCACCCTCCTCCTCTCCCTCTGCCTCCCTCTAAACCCACTCCATCTTCCTCTCAATCCAATGTGGCTCCACCTTTTGCTGCTCCACCCGCCGCTGCTGGTGCGGCCAAGCCTCCACCAACTACCCGGCCTGCCACTGCTGCCCCTGCAGCAGCAGCAGCAGCAGCAGCTAAATCACCCACCCCTCCGCCCCCTCCGTTGACCAAGCCCTCACCAGCCCAGTCAGTGGGTGGGGGCAGGCCGTCAACACCCCAGCCTGCCACTCCCTCCCCTGCAGCAGCAGCAGCAGCAGCAGCAGCAGCAGCAGCAGCAGCCAAATCACCCACCCATCCCACTCCCTCATCAGCCAAGGCCCCACCAGCTCAGTCAGTGGGTGGGAGCAGGGCACCAACACCCCAGCCTGTCACCTCAACCCCCCCTACTGCACCATCATCTGCACCTGCAGCACAAGCACCAGCACCAGCAAAATCACCCACCCCTCCCCCCACTGCCACTACAGCTGCCCCTCCTAATGCAAGTGCTTCTGCTTCTACCCCTACTCCTGCCCCTATGCCTGCCCGTGTTTCTGCCCCTACACCTGCCCGTGTTTCTGCCCCTACACCTGCCCGTGTTTCTTCCCGTGCTACAGCTCCCACAGCAGTCCAGCCGTCAACAGTCAAGGGACAGCCAACGAAACTGCAGCCTTCAACTGTAACAGCGAAACCACAGCCCTCGGCTGTAGCAGCAAAATCACAGCCTTCATCTTTAGCAACGAATTCCCAGTCCTCAGCTGTAGCAGCGAAACCACAGCCTTCATCTGTAGCAGCAAACTTTCAGCCTTCATCTGTAGCAGCAAACTTTCAGCCTTCAGCTGTAGCAGTGAAATCCCAGCCTTCAGCTGTAGCAGCAGGCACAAAGACATCCCCAGCTGTAGCACCCGCAGCTCCACCTGCTGCAGCTGTAGCAGCAGGTAGAACGGGAGTTCAGCCAACAGCTGTAGCGGGTGCTAATGCGGCAACTGTAGCAGGTGCAAACGCCGCAACTGTAGCAGGTTCAAATCTGTCAAATGCAGGGACAGCTGTAGCCGGTGGGAAGCCAGGGCCAGCTGTAGCAGCTGTGACTGCAGGAAAGCCTGGTTTGGGGGCTGTAGCTGCAGGGACACAGGGAGGTAAAGAAAGTCCTGCCCCTGTCACGGCTGTAGCGGCTGGCAGGCTGGGAGTGCAACCAGCAGCTGTAGCGGGAGGAAAGGCAGGGCCAGCTGTAGCAGGAGGGAAGCCTGGGCCGGCTGTAGCAGGAGGGGCGGCAGGGCCGGCCGTAGCAGGGGGAAAACCAGGGCCGGCCGTAGCAGGGGGGAAACCAGGGCCGGCTGTAGCAGGATGGAAGCCTGGGCCGGCTGTAGCAGGAGGGGCGGCAGGGCCAGGTGCAGTGGGTACAATGCGGGAAGAAGCTGCAGCAGCCATAGCAGCAGCTGTAGCTTCTATAGCAGCAACAAGAATGGGTGGAACTCCAGTGGCTGTAGCTGCACAGAGTGCTACAGCCGGCTCATCTGCTGCAAATGCACAGCCTGCTACAGCTGGACAGTCTCGTGTAGGGCCACAGTCCGCTACAGCCGGCCCGTCTGCTACAAATGCACAGACTGGTGGTGTAGCCCCATTGAAAGCTGTAGCCCCACCGACAGCTGTAGCACAACCGATAAAGGCACCCACACCACCACCACTAGCACCAGGTCAGAAGGGTGTGGTGCAATCAGGGGGAATGCAGCAGCAGATTGGGGTGCAGAAAACACCGCCTGTAGCACAGAAGGGTGTAATACAAACAGGGGGAGCGCAGCAGCCGGCTGTAGCGCAGACAGGTGGAGCAGCACAGCAGGCTGTAGCACAAAAAGCACCACTTGCAACCCAGCAGGTTGTAGCACAAAAAGCACCACTTGCAGCCCAGCAGGCTGTAGCACAGCAGGCGGCAGCGCAGCAGGCTGTAGCGCAAAAAACACCCGCTGGGCAGGCAACGAAGGCGCCTGCTGGTGCTGTTGCCTCAAGGCCACACGCTCCCTTCCCTTCCCTGCACCCCCCAGCAGGCAACGCAGAGAAGCAAACCCCAGCAGCTACTGCCGCTACACCAAAGCACCCCCAGCAGCCCCAGCAGCCCCAGCAGTCCCAATCAATCTCTGCAGCGCAGCAAAAGCAGTCACTTCCATCCTCCACGTCGACCTCCCTGCCCGCCAAGTATATTGGTGCGACTTTTGAGAATTCTCAAAAGTCGCCCCAAACCATCACTGCAGCGCCTCAAAAGCAGTCACTTCCATCCTCCACGTCGACCTCCCTGCCCGCCAAGCCAACAGCTCCTTCCCTTGCACGATCCTCGTCATTCCCGCTAGGTAGGGCGGCAGCGGGGCAGCAGGCCCCTGCAGGGCAGGTCGGCAGGGCGGCAGCGGGGCAGCAGGCTCCCGCAGCCACGATCTCCCAGCTGGTTGCTCAGAAGAAGCTGCTGCAGGCGCCTCTGGGGCGGGCTGCAACTGGTGCAGGTGGTACTGCTGGTGCTGCTGCTGCTGGTACTCCTCGGGGTGGTGTTGGGGGCGGTGGTACTGCTGGTGGTGCTGCAGCTGCTAACGCTGCTGGTGGTGGTGTAGCTGGTGGTTCTGCTGGTACTGCTTCTAGTGCTGCGTCAGGCGCTGCTTCTGGTGCTGCTTCTGGTGCTGCAGCCGGTGGTGCTGCTGCTGCTGGTGGTGGTGGTACTGGTGCTACTGGGGGGGGTGTGCTGCAGGTGTTGAGGCAAGTGCAGGCGCAGAGGCAACAAGATGCCTTGCAGGCTAAGGCTCGGCAGCAGGGAGGGCAGCAACAGCAGCTCCAGAAGCAACAGCAGCAGCAGCAGCAGCAGCAGCAGCAGCAGCAGCAGCAGCAGCAGCAGCAGCAGCAGCAGCAACAGCAACAGCAGCAATTACAACAACAATACCAGCAGCAGCAGCAGCTGCAACAGCAACGACAGCTGATGCTACAGCAGCAGCAGCAACAGCAACAACATCAGAGGCAACAACAGCAGCAACTACAGCAGCAACGGCAACAGCAACAGCAGCTACAGCAGAGACCGCAGCAGCAACAACAGCAGCAACAGCAGCAGCAGCAGCAGCAGCAGCAGCAGCAGCAGCAGCAGCAGCAGCAGCAGCAGCAGCAGCAGCAGCAGCAACAGCAGCAGCAGCAGCAACAACAACAGCAGCAGCAGAGACTACACCAGGCACAGCAGCAGCAGCAACAGCAACAACAACAGCAACAGCAACAACAGCAAGCACAGCAGCAGCAACAACAACAACAGCAACAGCAGCAACAGCAAGCACAGCAGCAGCAGCAACAACAACAACAACAGCAGCAGCAGATCCAGCCTACACAGAATTTGAAGCAGGCTGTGCGGGCAAAGAAAGTCCACGACCCAGACAAACCCACCAGGGGACGGGGACGACCTCGGAAGAACCCCATTAAGGAGAACCCTAAAAAGGAGAATCTTGTAAAGGAGAGCTCTATGAAGGAGAACCCTATAATGGGGAATGCTATAAAGGAGAGTTTGGTAAAGGCTTCTGCAGGGGGTGGACTGATTGTGTCATCTTTGGGGGTTCAAGGGGAGAGGCAGGAGCAGCAGCAGCAGCAACAGCAGCAGCAGCAGCAGCAGCAAGAGCAGGAAGCGGTGGGAAAAGAGAAAGGAGGCGGAGGGATGGAGAACGGGGAGCGGGGAGGAACGGAGAGGAGGGAGGGATGGAAGGAGGTGCAATTGGTGCAGCAGCTGAAAGAGCAACCGCAGCAGCAGCAGCAGCAGCAGCAGCGAGAAGCTAAGGTCTCTCAGTCGAAGGAGCAGCAGCAGGCAGGGGCAGGGAGGTCCCAGCCAATCCACAACTGGCCTGAAGAACTCCCATTCCCCCTCCCCCAGTTCTCCCTTCCCCAGTTCTCCCTCCCCCAACTCCCCCTCCTCCAATTCCCTTCCCAGCGCCTCCCCCCAGGCCCCCCCCTTCCCCCTCGTGCTTCCCCCGCTCCCCCAACTGCCCCTTCTCCTTCCCCTGGTGCTCCCCCCGTTCCCCCTCGTGCTTCCCCTGCTCCCCCTGGTACCCCCCCTCCCCCTTCCGCCCCCGCCCCCCTCGGTTTCCCCCTTGACGCAGCCACTGCTGCTACAGTGCAGCATGCAGCGGTTACTGTAGCGGATCAGATCCCCAAAGATTCGATTCTGTGGGCGGCTGTGGCAGAGCAGAAGGTTGAGATTCTGGAGAGAGCACTCGAGGAGACCAAGGAGCGGGCTGTTGCCATGATGGAGAGATTGAGGTTGAATGCAGAGGCTAAGGTGAGTAAAACGGGCGGTGAGCGAATTTGAGTGATACTAGAGGGGTGATAATAGAAGGTCTCTGAGGGTGGAGAGCGTTGGAGGAGACGAAGGAGCGAGCTGTTGCTATGATGATGGAACGACTGAGGCTGAATGCCGAGGCTAAGGTGAGATATGGGGGTGGACGAAGTTGGGGTGATATTAGAGGGGTGATAATAAAGGGCCTGTGTTGGTTGAGAGCACTGGAGGAGACTAAGGAGCGAGCTGTTGCCATGATGGAACGACTGAGGTTGAATGCCGAGGCTAAGGTGAGAAATGGGGGTGGATGTTACTGGGGTGATGGTAGAGGGGTGTCAATAAAGGGCTTGGGATATTGGAGAGGAGGCGAGAGGAGGAGCTGCAGGCACTCTCCTCACTGTCCCCTCCCGTCGCCCTTGCCCAATGAACTCACGCTTCTCGTCCCCTCGTTGTTGCTCTCTTTGTCCCCACTAGCACAAGGCGATGGATCAAGAGCAGGAGGAGGAGAGGAGGCGATAGGAGGAGCTGCAGGCTGCAATCACTCTCCCTTCTTTCTCCCCTCACTTCACCCCCCTCACTCTTGTTCTTTTTCCCCGACCACCACCAGCACAAGGCAATGGAGCGAGAGCTGGAGGAGGAGAGGAGGCGAGTGGAGGAGCCGCCACTGCTCTTCCTTCTCACCTGCGCTCTACCCTCACTCTTCGCACTTCCTCACCCCTTAATCCCTATGTCCCTTTTTCCCCACCAGCACAAGGCGATGGAGCAAGAGCTGGAGGAAGAGAGGAGGCGAGTGGAGGAGCTGCAGGGGCGGCTCAAAGCAGCGGAGGCCAGGCGGAATGGCAGCAGCAGGGGCATTGCTACCGTGCCTCCTCCTGTCCCTCCCTTTAATCCTCCCCATGCTGCTGCGCCAGCAGCTGCAAACGCACCTGCTTCTGCTGCTGCTGCTGCTGCTGTGCCTGCTGCTGCCGGTGCCGCTGCAGCAGCTTCTGCAGCAGCTCCTCCTGTAAGTCCGAGCCAGGCCCAGCTGCTGAAGGCCTTCCCTTCGTCGTCCAGCCTCAGTGGGGGCGATGCCACTGCTGCTGCTGCTGCTGCTGGCGCTGGTGGTGGTGGTACAGGTGGTGGTACGGGTGCTACGGGTGCTGCTTCAGCTGCCAGCCTGGCTCTTCGTTTGCCTCCTGGCTACTCTCTCACTGCTTCTCGCTCCTTCACACACACCACTGCTGATGGAGCCGCAGCAGCAGCAGTAGTAGCAGCACAGGGGACAGGACACGTCCATCCTTCTGGTTCCCCAGGGGATCAAGCCCACACACCACAACCAGCAGTAGCGCCAGCAGTAGCGCCAGGAGCGCCAGCAGCAGCAGCAGCAGCACCTGCAGGTCTCCTGCACACGCCTCCCCTGCGCTCTCTAAGCTCTGGCCTACTAGGAGTGAGTCTAGGCCTCACCAGCCCCACACTTGGTGGCAGGGGAAGGGGTGCGGCGGGCGAGGGGTTGAGAGGGCAAGCAGCAGGAGTAGCAGGAGGGGCAGGAGCAGCAGGAGGAGGGGGGGTGGGTTGTGCTGCTGGTGCTGGTGAAACGCCCCCGGTTACCCCGCTTCTAGGCCCTTCTGGTGGGAGGGAAGGGATGGGAGGTGCAGGATTGGGAGGAGGGCTGGGTTTGGGGGCAGCAGGTTTGGGAAGCGGGTTAGGTTTGGGCGCAGCAGGGTTGGGAGGAGGAGGAGGCGGAGGGGGAGGAGTGAGGGCAATCTCGCTCTCCCCTGCCGTGGGATTCGGCCTGCACCACCTCCTGTCTCCTCGTCGCACACCTGATTCTCCTGCCGCTGCTGCGGGTGCTGCCGGTGGTGCGGCCGGTGGTGCAGCTGGTGCTGCTGGTGCGGCCGGTGGTGCTGCCAGTGGTCTGGGAGCGGGAGGAGGGAGGTTTCAGGCAGCAGGGGAGGAGGGAGGGGTGGTGGAGGTAGCAGTAGGGGCGCTAGACCCGTCTCTGCTCGGTCCGTGGGCTGTAAGCAGGTTTTTCACTAACAGTCAGAGTGTTCCTCTGCCTAGTGTGACTATACCCGCACCGAGCTTTCCTGTACCAAGTGTGCATGTACCGAGTGTGACTGTACCGGGTGCCACTGCTGCTGCTGCTCCCCCTGCTCTTCCCTCTGCCCCTGCTCCTTCTGTTGCTTCTGCTGCTGCCCCCACAACAGCAGCAGTGAACGCTACAGTTGCAGCTCCACATGCTACTCCGCTTCTTTCCTTCCCTCTCACGCACACCCCCGCTTCCCCTGCTGCTCCGCTTGCTCCTCCCGCTGCTCCTCTCTCTGCTGCGCCCCCTGCTGCTGCTCCTGCTCCTCCTCCTCCTGCCGAGGCCACGCCAGCCCTTCCCGTTCCCTCTCAAGAGATGCTCTTTGGTCGTCCCCTGCTAGTAGCACCACCAGCACCAGCACCAGTACCAGCACCAGTACCAGCACCACCACCAGCACCAGCGACAGCACCAGCGCTAGCGTCCCCTGAGGCGTTTCACAAGGGGCCTGGGGGACCAATGCAGGCAGAGGCAGCGCTTTCAGGGGCGAGGGAAAGCCGGGCAGACAATTGGCAGGCTGGTGGTGATGGCAGTCCTCACCTGCAGACGCAGCAGCTGCTTGGGATCCACAATTTCCCAGTCGTGCAAGGGCAGCAGCAGGTGGGTAGCAGCAGCTTAGATGAGCAAGGGCAGCAGCTCAGTAGCAACAGTTTCCGGGTTCCGGGGCAGCAGGTCGCGAGGATTTTCTTGGAAGGTTCTCAGGCGGATCGGGTTGCGACCCAGGTTTCAGCAAGGGACGCTGGTGGGAGCGAGCGAGAGTGGCTGCAAGAAGGGAGGGAGCGGGTGGAGAGGGGTGGGAAGGAGGGGGCTGGTGCGTTGAGCGGGGATGGGGCGGCGAAGCAGGCTGGTTTCAATGCTGCTGCTGGTGCTGGTGGTGGTGGTGGAAGTGGTGGAGGGATTGGGTATGGCGGGTTTGGTGCTGCTCTTTCTCTAGCTCCACCTGAGGGCAGGAACAGGAGGCCAGGAGAGGTAGCCGACACTAGTAGCCCTGCTGTTTCTGGTTTGCCAGCTTCCGTTGGGCCATCTGCTGTAGCACCAGCTGTAGCGGCTCCAGTTTTAGCAGCACCATCTGTAGCTGCGGCTGTAGCAGCTGCAGTGGGAGCAGACGCTTCTGTGCCCGCTGCTGCAACTGCTGCGCCTGCTGCTGCTGCTGCTGCTGCTGCTGCTGCTGCTGCTGCTGCTGCTGCTGCTGCTGCAACTGCTGCTGCTGCTGCTGCTGCGCCTGCTGCTGCTGGTGCTTCGTCACACGCTCCTGCAGTTGAGTCAGCAGAGGTGGTTGCACCTGTTGCAGAAAAGCCAGCAGCAGCAGCGACAGCAGGAGCGGCAGGGGCAGTAGCCGAAACAGCAGGAATAGGACCAGCGGCAGGGGCAGCAGCAGCAACTGCTGCAGCAGGAATCGCAGCAGCACCAGCAGGGGCAGCGGGAAAGAAACCTGCAAAGAAGGGAATTGTGAAGGCGAAAGCCGGCGAAGGGAAGGCGAAAGGAAAGGGCTTGCCAGGCTTGGGGAGGGCAGGCATTGGAGCAGGCACACCTGGGAAGGTGAAGCCTGGGGGAGGTGTAACTGCGAAGGTGAAGGTTGGTAAGGCTGGGGAGGGGGGAAAGGAGGGCAAGGAGGGAGAGGAGCAAGAGGCAGTTTCAAAGAAAGTGGTGAAAACGACTAAGGGAGAGAAGAAGGGAAGGGGAGAGGCGGTTGTGAAGGGAGGGAAGAAGGTGGTTGGGGCGGAGGACGCTAAGGGCAAGAGTGGTGCGGCTGGTGGTGTTGAGAGGAGTGGTACTGCTGGTGCAGCTGGTGGTGCTGCTGAAGACAATACTTCTGGTGCTGGTGGGGCTGTTACAAGAACAGCAGGAGGAGGGGCAGAAGCAGCAGCAGGGGGAGGAGGAGGAGGAGCAGTACGAGCAGCAGCAGCTGATATGGCAGGCGCAGCAGAGGATTCAGAGCATACAGAGACAGCAGATGAAGGGGGGGAGGGCGAGAAGGAGGAACAAGGGGAGGAGGCGGTTAGTGGGTGGGTTGCAGGCGCTGACACGGGTACTGTTGGGGTAGCACCTGTTGAAACGGGGGTAGAAACCAAAAAAGCCCAAGGAGGCGAGGGCAGAGTGAAGAAACCTAAGGAGAAAGTGAGGAAGCTAGAGAAGGGGCAGGTAGGGGAAAAGGGGAAGGCAGGAGGATTGGGTCCTCGTGCTGGTGCTGCTGGCGCTGTTGGTGATGCTAGTGCTGCTGGCGCTGGTGGTGCTGCTGGTGCTGCTGGTGCTGCTGGTGCTGCTGGTGCTGCTGGTGCTGCTGGTGCTGCTAGTGATGCTAGTGCCAAGGCGATTGCAAAACGGGTGAAAATGGTGGGGAAGGATGGGGCAAGAGGAACAGGAGAGGGCGGAGAGGGCGGGCATAAGACAGAGAATGAAGGGGCACAAGGCAAGGCGGCGACTAAGAGAAAGGCAGCAGGGACGGATGATGGAGGAGTTAAGAGGAAAAAGGCAAAGGTTGTAGCAGGTGCTGTGGGGTTGGAGGTGGGTGGAGGTGCGGAGGAGTTGGAGGGGGTAGAGGGGATAGAGGGAGGAGTTGGTAGGGAAAGGGAGGGGGGTGATTCGAGCAAGCAGGAGAAAGAGAAGGGAAAGAAGCAGGGGAAAGGAAAGCAAGTGAAAGCAGCTGGTGGGGAAAGAGGGGGTAAGAGAACACATCAAGAGGCAGAAGAAGCTTCGGGCAGGCCAAAAAAGAAAGTTCCGAAGGGAAAAAAGGCCGGTGGGGTCAGAGAAGGGGCAGACGCTGCAGAAGCAGTGGAGGAAAATGGGGAGGATTTTGCAGCTGGTACTGAAGCAGCTAGTAAAGAGGATGAAAATGTTACCACCCCCATAAGTGGCTCTGCTGCTGCTCCTTTGAGTGGGTCTGCAGTAGGGGCGTCGTGTCTGGATCTGCTGCTGATGGGTGTGGACGCTGTAAGCCGTCTGGAGGAAATGGAGGAGAAGAGATCTGAATCTGCCAATGAGCCTTCTGCACCTGCGCCTGCTGCTGCTGCTGCTAGGGAAGGGCAAGTGGAGCAGGAGGAAAGGGAGGAGGGAGAGGAGGAGGTGGAGGAGGAGGGGGGTCGGGAGTCGGCTAGATTACCGCAGGTAGTGAAGAGAGCAGATGGGGTGAAGAGGAAGAGAGTCGATTCGGTAGAACGGGTAATGGAACGAGCTTCAGCTAGTGATGAGGCAGCAGCTACAGCAGCAGCAGGAGCGGTTGCAGGGGCAGGGGCAGGGACTGTGGTGTCGCCTAGTGGAAGGGGGAGGGGCGGGAAGGAAGGGAAAGGAGGGAAGGAAAGGACGGGAGAGAAGGAAGGGAAGGAAGAGAAGAGAGAAAAGGGACAGAAGGGAGAGAAGAGGGAGAAGGGAGAGAAGGGAGAGAAAGGAGAGAAGAAAAAGGGAGGAGCTCTAGCCAGGGGTAAAGGGACCAAGGGAACCGAGGGCGCTGGGGCAGATTCGAAAGTTACCCCTTTTGAGGTGCGACCAAGTAAGGTGATGAAACAGGCGGGCTTGAAACAAGGAGAACCTTCGAACGCACCTGAGGTTCGAAAGCAGTACCTGGGGGTTCTTATGGGGGGAGTGGGTGTGAAGGAGGGCCAGACAAAGCAAGGGAAGAAGCAAGTAAAGAAGGGGGTAAAGGAGGAGGAGAGAAAGGGAGAGAGTGGGGTCGAGAAACCGCCTACTGGACGAATTTTTGCTGTTGGTGGCCCTAAGAGTGTGTTTGGTGCGTTGCAAAAGTCTTCTACTGGTCCTAAAACTGACTCTAAACTCAAGGTTGCTTCAAAGAACACAGCTGCTGTTGCGGGCGCTGCTGCTGCTGCTGCTGCTGCTGCTGCTGCTGCTCCTGATGTTGGTGGTAGATCTGGGATGTTGAAACGAGCTCTGGCCATGGTGCGAGAACGGGAGGGGGGAGAAGAGGAGATCAGAGAGCGCGAGGAGTGGAAGCAGCAGCAGCAGCAAGGGGAGAGTGAGGAGGAACAGGAGCAAGAGGAGGAGGAAGACGAGGCGCAAGAGGAGGAGGAGGAGGAGGAGGAGCAACACTCAGGAATCAAGGGCAGGGGAGAAGAGAGAGGTACAGAGAGGTTCAAGAGCAAATCGGGCACTTCTGCTGCTGCTGCTGCTGCTGCATTGAGTCAGCAGCGTGGTGGCATTGGTGGGCGTGGGCTAGCAGCTAGATCTCCAGGAAAGGCTATCAAAGAGCCGCGGCTCACGATTCGAAGGCCTGGGATCCCACTGAGAGGGTCGGGTGTTACGGTGAGAGGGATGGGGCTCCGGGGAAGGTGGTCGGGGCGATGGAATGCACGTGCTATCATTGCAGGACGGATTGGGGCTGGAACAAGGTACGGGGATAGGGATGAGGAGGAGGGTGAGAGGGGTAGGGAGGAGGACGAGGAGGGAGAAGGGAGTAGGGAGGATGAAGGGGATAGGGAGGGGAGAGAAGGGGGGAGCGAGGAGGAGGTGGAGGGGAGGGAGGAAGAGGAGGATGGGGAACGAGAGGGTGAGGAGGAGGCAGAAGAGACGGTGGTATTGCTGGATGAGGAGGAAGAGGAGGAGGAAGAAGAGGAGAGTGAGAGGGATGGGGATGGAAGGGTGGATAAGAGAAAGGGTGTGCGAGGTGGGGCGGTGTTGGGGAGAGGAAGAGGGCCAGAGGGAGAAAAGATGAGGAGAGGAGGAGGCAAGGTGAGTGGGAGAGTGGGGGGGCGTGTGGGTGGGAAGCGAGGAGGGGGGAAGGTTGAGAGGGAGGCAAAGAGGCGAAGGGTGGAAGAGGAGGAAGGGGAAGAGGATGAGGAGGATGGTGTTAAGGAAAGGAGAAAGGGAGGCGGGCAGAAGAAGGAGAGGAAGCCGGGGAAAGCAAGGAAGGACAAGGAGAAAAACCAGAGAGTGACTGGCAAAGCGGTTGAAAGGAGAGGCAGCAGTGTGAGACAAAGGCAGGAAGAGGCAGCAGCAGCGACAGCAGCAGCAGCAGCTGAAGAAGCAGCAACAGCTTCTGAAGAAGAAGCTTCCGCGGAAGCGGCACCTGCTGTTCCCATCGCATCATCAAACGCTGTTTCAGCAGATGCTGCTGATGACGATGATGATTTAGAACTCCGGGAGCTGGGCAGAGGGGCGGTCGGGGTAGGGCCGGGGGAAGGGGGGGTAAGTATACCTTGGGAGGGGCTTTCCTCTTGGGGAGACAGGGGGAGGCAGTGGAGTGGAGAAGCACCAGAGAGAGCATCTGGGGGGTCTGGTGCTGGTGCTGCTGCTGCTGCTGCTGCTAGAAGTGGTGGTGCCAGTGGTGGTGGTGAGGCGATGACTGCGGCAAGAGGATCAGGGCGAAGGAAGTCCAAACCAAAATCATCAAGTACAGCAGCTGGTGCTGCCGGTGGTGGTGCTGGTGCTGCTGGTGGTGCCGGTGGTGGTGGTGGTGGAAAGGAGGGGCCTCAGGAGGCGACAAGGCCCACTCGGCACAGCAAGAGACTGGGAGTTCGACAGGTATGTGTGTGTGAGAGTGAAAGGCACGGAGTGAGACACCGAGAGAGAGGCACAGAGTGCGGGGAAACGTGGAAAGGAGGGGGCTCAAGAGGCGACAAGGCCCACTCGGCACAGCAAGAGACTGGGAGTTCGACAGGTATGTGCGTGCGAGTGAGAGGCACAGAGTGAGAGGTACAGTGAGAGGCACAATGAGAGGCACAATGAGAGGCACTTAACTTTTGGGATGTCTTGAAGCAAGAGACTGGGAGTGCGACAGGTATGTGTGTGTGTGTCGGAGAGAGTTGCTCTTGTAGTTGGTACCGTGTCGACACGTGGCGTGTTGACTCGTGCCCTGCTTTACTGTATGTGATCAAAATGTGTACATGTGTGGAGTGGACGTATCCCGTCACTTCACTGCATGCACTGCTTTACAATATAGTTTTCTAATCTTTGTGTTCTTATCCTGCATTCTCACTTTTAATTTATGTCTCTTATAGTGTTTCTAATCTGTATGTGCCCTTCTACTGTATGCCCTTGCTCTATTTTCTTGTCATGTGCAGTCTATAGGAAAGCGATGGTACGACGATTGAAGCTGATTAAATGAGTGATACGATAACTAATCAAATCCTTAACATAACTGCCGGTTACTAGTGAGTGTACCGTACTTGTTTTGTCATTTGTGTTTGCAAATATGTGTTGCTAACGTGCTTAGATGACAAAGTTATTGTTTGCAACACCACAGTATACTCCACACCATTTTGTGTACTTGACTAATGATGGTGAGTTCCTACAACCTGTAATCATACAAAACTCTAATCAGACTAATGCCATGCCACACTCAACCGCATTGAACCAACTTGTTTCTTGTTACGATATGAAATTATACTTGGCATTCTTCATCGTAAAATAATCAGGCACTACCAAGTATGAGAAATGAGGTTACGCGATGAGTCGAAGAGTCGAAGACGGTTACGGTACCATCGATGTACCTGCAATAAGGGAATATACCCCTTAGAGTACATGGCAAGCCTCTGATTAACAGGGTGATTCACCCTTATGACACTGATTATCAGGCTAGTTTTGATTATGCACCCATATTTTTCATAGTGGTTATTTTCTATGACACTGATATTTCAGAGTTAGGAGGTGTAGACACGCTGACGATACCGAGTTCGCTCTAACAAAGATGTTACAATTGTTCGTGTAAAACACGAAATCATGCGCACCACAGACAAGTGACGGCCACATCGGTTATCAAACATGCGTCTTTGAATCAAAGTAACAGCCAACTCATTGCAACACCAGACATTGTCACTTCACCAAAAGTACATACCGTAACCATACATTTTCTTTTGCACCCTGTTTAGCAAAAAAAAAACGTTTCTGTCAGGTATGTCGAAATAGTAGTTAAGTTAGGAGGCACTAGGGTTTGGGTAGAACGAGAGCGACAAGAGGACCATGAGAGAGATTAGCCAAAGAGTGCTCACTATGAGAATGACGGTACAAGATATGCGCGAGAAACATGAAACAAGAGGTGCACCACCAACGGGGTTTGTATAACTACACTAAAGCTAAAGCTACAAGCAGTTGTAAATATATATGAAAATATATAGCACGACACACCCCCTAACTGCCTGCAGAACACAGCTATAGCAAGTTACAACCCCTGAAGGGGTACACCAAGGCAGAGAAACCAGCAGCAGCAGGCAGGAGCAGTGGCAGCAGGTGCAGTTGTGGCGGAGCGAGATGCAGCAAACCCACAACCACGGCAGATGCAACAGCAGGTGCAGGCGGCGGCAGGTCGCCTGAGGAGCAGGCGCTGTGGCTGCAACGAGCAACAAGACAGCAGCGGCTCGACGGCAGCAGCTGCAAGCCCCAGCAGCAGGCAGCAGCAGACGATGCAAGTGGCGGTAGGTGTAGCAGGAGGAGGTGCCACGGTGGCAATGTGTTGCAACTGCAAATGCCCGGCTGAATCCCGACACCCCCTCACCCTCCCCCCCACAGCGGCACGCGCGGTAGTGAGAGAGAGAGGAGGAGGGGCGGCTGCTGGCTCGGCTGAATCTCTCTCGCCACCCCCTCACCCTCCCCCCCTTCCCCCACAGCGACAGGCGCTGGAGGGAGATAGAGGAGAGATGAGGGCGGCGGCTGGTTCCTGCAGGTACACTCCCTCCACCCCCTCACCCTCCCTCCCACAGCACCACGCACGGCATTGATGCGCCAGGCGTCGATGCAGGCGCTGGCGCAGGCGCTGCTGTTGTCGCGGAAGTCGTAGTCGCAGCTGCAACAGTAAGGACAGGAGCAGCAGCGGGGTCGACGGGAGGGTGGGCGGGACCAGTTGCATGGGTGCGACGGGATGGCGCTTGACGGGGCGGCGACGGAACAGGCGACGCGGCGACGAACGGGGCCAGCGGAGTCAATCGCGCCTATCGCGTCCGTCTCGGCCGTCACGGCCGTCACGCTGAGTGCCATGACGGGCGCGTGCGCAACGGAAGCAGCGGCGTGTGGGCGCCATGCCACGACGAAAGAGGGGGGCCTATTAACGTGATAGCTCTGTTACCATGTCGAAATAGTAGTTAAGTTAGGAGGCAGTAGGGTTTGGGTAGAACGAGAGTGACAAGAGGACCATGAGAGAGATTAGCCAAAGAGTGCTCACTATGAGAATGAGGGTACAAGATATAGGCGAGAAACGTGAAACAAAAGGTGCACCGCCAACAGGGTTTGTATAACTACACTAAACCTAAAGCTACAGGCAGTTATATATATGAAAATATCTATCACGACAAGGTACCCTTTTAGAAAAGGTGAAGGCGCAGCATTGGCCTTATGAGAAAGACAGGCTAAAATCATAACCGGAGGATTTGGAGGGCAAACGAATATAACGGCCGACTACCACGGACAACACCACCATACTGGAGCAGCTGATTCATATATTATCAACGCAAAGACTAAAATCTTTGTGAAATGGCGATGCGGGAACCTCCTCCCATTCCACACAACTGGTCACAACTACCCACGAAAGCGCCCCGCAAGCCTTCTCCCTCAACAAGAAAATATCATGACCAAAGGCTCCCTAAAGCCATTCTCTCAGCTCAATCGAAATTTATGACTATCTCCAAGATACGAGAATGACGAGAATGACTTTTGTACTTGGAGATTTAAGCTGGAGCTACTTATGCAGAGCGAACATATTTTCTCGACAGAAGCTACGTATGCCCTGCGATAGACACTGATGGCCCACGCGCGCAATATTACAACGATTCGCTCATGGCCTACAGCGTCCTCTTGCGCAGATATCGCCGACAGATAACTTGGCATAGGATCATTCAAGACGAAGCCAGCTCCGGCATTGGAGGCTTGGAAATACCTAATGGGCTCCGTGTCGTCGATCCAACTCCTCCACCAACTCGTGGAGGTGAAGATTGGCCCCACAGAGAAACCGAAATCGTACATTTATCGTTGTCGGAGCATCTGCGATCAAATAGCGAAGCATGGAAGCACAATATCCGAATATATATTCGTCACGATTGTGCTCGCGGGACTTGGACCTTAGTGGAGACCCTTTGCGCCGCTCTACTCGTCGAACAGCAAGATATGGATGCTCACCGGGAGCGTCCCACACAACGACGAGAGAGACTCGCCTTCTACACCGACAATCGAGAAGCGTGACGAGACACGCGCCCACGGCGCCACTACTGCAAGCTTTGCAGATTTTCGGGCATGCATCAGAATGATGCAACTTTCGTTCTAACACCCGACAGTTCGTCGGCCCCACATCGCAAAACGGACAATGGGCGCAAGACCGACCAACGACACCAGCACGCCATGCCGATCGACCGTCGCAGGCCATCGGCCAGCCCCGCGCGTACCCGCCGGAGCAAGTCAGCATCAGTCACCGCCGTCAACAGGCGGGCCGCACGACACATCATCAACAACATGGTGATGCGGCAGCCGCGACTCACGCGAAGAGCAAATCGGCGGTGAAATGGGAATCCTACACCACATCGCCCTTCCCTACGCGTACCACATTTCGCTTGCTTGCTTGTTCGCCAAGCACAAACCTCACGCTCATGACGAAGGTGCAAGTATTGCTCAATTAATCAAAACTGTCGCCTACGTACTGGACATACGCCATGCATCACGCGGTGTGCCTGCACAACCTCCTTTCCATCACGGGAATCGAGGGAAACCTCTCGCCTCACGTGAAGTGGACTGGGAAGAAAGGCGACACCTCGATGCTATGTCAGAATGTGATGTTTGTCTAGCCTGCAGTGGGGTACTCTATAGCGAGTATAGCCCAAATTAGTGTTTGCTATATGTACTCAACTGCCTGCTAGTGAAATCCTCTCTTTCCTGTTTCTGATTCTTGCCTAGACTTTCGACATGGTATCAGAGCAGGTCGACCCTCCCGGGTCGATCCTGTGGATGGGCCCACCGTTAGCTTCCGCTGCTGTCCTGCCTATCGCGCGCCTCGGGCACGCTTCGTTTTCTGCCTGCCGCGCGCTCGGGGCGCGCGGCATTTTTTCTTCCCGCCGCGCGCTCGGGGCGCGCGGCGATTTTCTGCCCTGCCCGCCGCGCGCCCCGGGAGCGCGCGGCGGTTTCCTGCCCCGTCGACCCGCGCGTCGCCCCCCCGTCGCCCGTCGCCGCGCCCCTGGAGACCCGCGCGTCGCCCCCCGTCGCCCGACGCGGCTCGCGCGACCTGCGCCAGGCCCGCGCGCGGCCCATACAGCCCGCGCGCGGTTCGTACGGCCCGCGCCAGGCCCGTGCGCGGCCCGTCCAGCTGCTGCCCGAGCCGCGCGCCGTCCCCCCAGCTGCTGCCCACGCACCGCCCCCCGCTGCTGCCTGTGTTAGGGTTTGGGGATGGCGAGTGTGGGGGTGGCGAGCTTGGGGGTGACAGGTGTGTGCGCCGTCCCCTGCTCCTCCTCCTCCTCCGTCTCCCACTGCTGCAGCTGCCGCTGAGGGGGGTGGATGTGTTGGAGCCGTCGGAGTGATACGAGGGGGGTGGCGTGTGAGCAGTGCTAGGGGTACAGCAGGGAGTGTGTGAAAGGGGTGTGGGACAGTTGGGGGAGGTTGACCGGAGGTAGCCGACTTGTCGTCCGCAGCGCCTGAAGTCCAGAGAGCCACGACCCCCTGTGGCCGTGTAGTCCGGGGCTCTGCGCCCGGTAGCCACAGTGTGAGCACTCCTGGTAGTC